TTTTTATTAAATGAATACTATTTTAATTATTAGATTAGATTATATTAATACATATAAATTATATGTTCACTCTGTCAGCTTGCAATCAAATTCTGTGTTAAAAATATATCAATAACACTCACTAAATATTAATTTAGTATTAACAGTTGAAACTTAATTGACTTTTATTATTTAAATTATTATATAACCTTAATTAAATAAATATAATCATTTATTAATAGAAAATTAACAAATTTAATATTGTAATTAATCGAGTTCAAAATCACTAATCAACTACATTATTGATTTTTAAATTTAATTATCATGTCTCTTCCTAAAATTATTTTCAAGGTACAAATACAAATGAGTATAAGATATTATAAAAAGTTAGTAGAAGTACATATATCGTTTATAATCCGTTATAATATATAATTATTTATAAAATATTAGGTAAAATGCCACATTACAGGCGTATTTGACAGTTATATAATATATTACAGTTAATAATTTTAAAATTTAAATGCTTTTGATAATAAATATAAGTAACAATTTGCATTCAATTATTTCCATCTATTTATTAAATATATTATTAAAATTAAACTTCTTATTATTCATGCCACAATGAATATAATAAATTAGATATCTTTTCTTCTCTTAATTTACGTGTTTTTAGGAAAGCTATTTTTTAACAGTTTTGAGTTAAATTTTTAATACGAATATATTTTTGATATTATTACAATCTACTATTATTTTAAGATATAATATCCCAACTTGAGGTGGTGCGACAATAATATATAAAATCTTAATCACTTTCATCATATCACTCTGGTTCTTATTTTATAGTTACAAAATATTTCTAATATGGCATCGACTTCAATATACTTGCATAATTTCTTTAAAGATTTTTACTGTTTTTGTTTTATCATTTATCTAACATAATAAATTCTGATATAGCTTACCATATTTAGTGTCATGGCTATGACTGCAAATTAACCAGCATCTATTATTTGTTTTGTTATGTAATTTAAGGCTGCTGAGAGCATATGATTGCATATTTTAAATAAGCAATAACAGTCAACTATGTAGTCGTTTATATATCATTAAAAATAAAAAATAATCTTTTAGAAATTTAATATCTCACAAAAATTTTCTCGATTATTTACCTAGCTTCCATCATGTCTATAAGAGGAAGCTCTAGCCACTATATAGTTTTATGATTTGGATTGGTCGTTTATATTCTCTTCTTCAAGAATTGTTGATTTGGTCAAGCCTATAAATTTTTCCTTATTAGTCCATTCTATAAAACATTGTCTAAAATGGTAACAGAGAGTTATGTTAGTTTCATGACTTTTTGTCAATGTAACTTGCTTAAATTTATATAGCTTTATGTGGTTTTTAAAAACCATTATCAATTGAGGCATATGTATGAATTAATTAACTTTTTTTATCACTTTTAATTCTTTACGCAAAATTTTTTTATATCAGCGATCGAAAATATGTTATACTTTAATAAATAGATTTTGTATTAAAAAATATTATTTTTAGAAATGTCTTGTATTGTTTTAAATATTTATATGCTAGTTTATTTTGTATGCAAAATATTATAAATGACAAAATATGAAATTCAGAATAATTGTCTAGAGGCCAGGGAAGGGTTAGATTATCTTCATCTGAAGAAGTAAGGTCTAAATATTCTTAAAATAAATTATAAAATAGTTCACATTTACTTTGAATTTTGATGTAAATTAATTATATTAACATTCGACTGAAAATTTAACGAGTATTTAATATTAAAATGAAGGAATGGTGGTTGATTTGAATTAAAAACTCGGCTTAAATTATTTATATAAAAAAATAAATAAAAGTAATTTTATAGTACAATAATATGTTTTTCCAAAAAAAAAGAAACGCGTTACCGTTATTTCTAGAAGAAGTTAACGAATGATGTTCCTTTTCTTCATAAAAGGTAACGACGCTACTTTTTTGACGTTACTTTACAACACTAGATATTACCATGTTTTTTTTAAATATTAAGTTTAAGATAATACAAATCATATGAAGATTACTTTCCAAATTTTACATAATAAATAGTTTTAGAGAAATATTTAATAAATATATAAGAAAGAAAGAAAAATATTGTTTGTTTTACCTCTTTACAATGTTGCCTATATTTACGTCTTTACAACACCTAATAAAGTTTTAAATTCATTCTTGTAAATAATTTTAACAAAATTTGATATAGAAAGCTAAGCAACTTAAAAGTTGTAACAAGAAATATAATATTAACACCTTACTTTTAATCCTTTAATTTATAGACCCTGTTAAATAAATCAAAATCAATCAATGATGAATAAATCATATGAATGAATAGTAGATAATCTAATTTTACTCACTGAGAAATGCTTATTATCTCTTATTTTAAAAAAACTCTTTAATATTCGCAAATAAAAATTAGACACATGATATTTTATCTTCTTTTCGAGATAATCCTTTAATTGATATAAGAACCTGCTAAATAAATTAAATAAGTCAATATTAGATGATCCTATTTTACTCACTGAGAAAAGTTTTTAATTTCTTATTTGAAAACTTTTAATATTTAATTTATGAAATGCAAAATAATAGCTACACATATGATATTTTATTTTCCTTTATCATTGTTGAATATGTTGATCGATGTTATTTTATTATTTATTTTGGCAATTGATTTATTTTTTTATATATCAATTTGTATTTAAATTTAATCGGTGAAAATTTTATATTAACATTGTTTTATACATCAATTTGTATTAGTTATTTTTTTTAATTGTTTAAAAAAAAAGATTTATAAAGAGAAATTGTTTTTGTTAAAAGAAGATATTGAAAATAAAAATGTAATTTATCATATAATAAAATTTAAATTATGATTAAAAATATTAAATTATGATTATAAATAAAATGATAATCAATAAAAAATATGAAATATTTATCTATAAAATAATAAATGTGGATTTGAATACATTTCAACAATCATATTGAATATATAAATTTATTTATAAAATTAATTATTTGAAATGAATGTTTAAATAGGAATTCTACAATGACTTCAAGCTACTAAATGATTCTTGGTTCATCAAATTAGCTTATGCATACTGGATAAAAATGCCATATCCATTCATAGCTTCACTTTTATTAGATAAATAATCGGGTTCCTTTTATAACATCATTAAGTAATCACTTTCTGTACTATCATGCCTCTAAAAGATTAAATAAATCTAATATTTAATCTTATTTTTTATTAAAAAAATACTCTTTCCAAGATTGGGGTTCCCTCTTTCATTGCAGATTGTGTGTGATTAATATTTTGCCTTTTTCTAAATCTCTGTAGCTACTAGAATTATAAAAAAATGAAGTTATTTATAAAATTTTCAACTACCTCATTAAATGTTTTGCTGTAAATTCTATCTTATTTTAGCATTACAATGTTATTAGGCTCCGTATCTCAAGCCAAATGATTAATAGTGACTGTTTTAAGAAACTAATTTTTTTACTTGTTGGTGGTTTATTTGTAATTGATAATTTCTATTCTATTCTATAAATTAAATTTTCTAATAACAATTTACGCATAAAATAATAATTGATAATTAAGTGGCTATCCTGAAATAAAAAGTTAATGATAGTCACTACCAAATCAACGTATAGCAATTTTTTAAATACTAACATAATTTGCTAAATATCGACCAAAATTTATTAAAATATAATTAGACCCTTTCCATTAAATATATATGATAAAGGAATTACGGGCGAGTCCGGTCTCCTATATATCACCCCCCCCCCCAAGAACGGAACCACCATGTTAAATTAAGAAAAAAAACATTTAATAAATTAGTGCTAATCTACAATTCAACAATCACCGCTGCAATTATCCGATAAAAATAGCTTCAACATATAAATGGGAGGTAAAATTTTTTGCATTTAACAGGTATTTATCAATTAACCTTGCACATTAAATTATATTTTAACATTATGCCATTATAGATTTTAACAAAATGCAGAATTTTTTCGCATTTAAAAATATTTGCACTTAAGCGATATATGATTAAGTGGTTTTGACTGCACAAATGTTTTTACCTGTCCGCACCAATAGAAATCTATAAGAGTGATAATATATTTAGTTAATTATATAATTTTTATAACTATCATTTTAATATATATAATATTTTTTTAGCATGTTTCACTTTTAAATATGTTACACTTATATTATATTGCCAGCACTTAAGTTACCAGACATTCTCTTATAAATTTACTGAGTAAAAATAGACTGTCATAAATTTAATAATAAATTTTACTGCCTATAAAAGATTAAATACATTTTTAAAGTTATTCTAGGGTAGTTATGATAAAAAAAGCCTGATTTTTAACTTCCCTATAAAAAATTAAGCCAAAATAATATCATGTAAGCCTGGAGATTTAGATCTATTTTCTAGATCTCGAAAGCTTGCTTAATATTTATTTGGCTAATCTTTCGGGCCTTTTTTAAAAATAGACCCAAATGGGCTTTTTGACACTGCTCTATAGGTGGGAGCGGTAAACAATAGGTATAATCAATTTTATTTTGATTAATTGGAAATATACATAGACTATTCTTTTGTTTTCACATTTTTGTTTCTGTAAACTTTCTATATTTTATGGTCAACATTTATCTACAACTTTATGTAATTTTTATAGTTATTTTACAAATTCACAAAGTGATAACCCTACCCTAGATGGCATCCAAGTTATTACTTAAAAAATACTCCGGATTCACATGATCTCGATACCTCTTATATAACCATCGAAGTTAAAACCATATCCTTACTTTTAGCGCTGTAACACATTGATTATGGTTATTTTTTCCTTCTATATATATATTCATAGTTGTTTTAAATTCAATTCCGCATTTTTTTAGTATTACACAACTAAACATTATTAATATTATCTTTCAATCGGACACAAACTTCCACGTTGAATAATTATAATTCATTGCATTTAGAGTGGATTCTTTGTCATTCATATGTTTTTTACCCAAATTTAAAATTATGGAAAAACCTTATAAACAAAACGTATTTAACTCTCAATTACTTAATTCTTTAAGTAAAGATTTATCAAATGAACTTAATATATCATCTTATTTGCAACATGACTCCGAATTTCATATAAGACCATTATCTATAAGTGACTATAACAAAGGTTTAAATCATATTTTATCATTTTGAAATGTATTAATATAGGATACATATCGTTAATGAGCCAATTAACTTCAGTTGGCAACGTTGATGAAGAAATGTTTATAAGTAAATATTTTTTTATATATTAGTAATATCTAGAGCAAAAGATAATTTTTATTCAATGCTCAATTGCCCTGACACATATTATATTTGTGTTATAGAGGATACTAATAAATTGAGTGTAATAGCCTCTGGGACATTGCTAATTGAAAAAAAATTCATTCACCAATGTCTTAATGTAAGTTAAAATTACATAGATGGATTGTTAGCATTCATTTAAAAATAAATTAATATACTTACTATATTTTATTAATATAAAAATCTTGTTTTTAAGTATCAAAGTTTAGAATAGAAATAATATTATAAAATCAACCCAATACAATGAAAATACCAAATTTTAAGAAATATAATTGAACCCCTTTGAATTAGAACTTATAGCTGGAACTTTTTAAAAAATAACTTAAATTAAAAATTATGCAAATATGTTTAATTTTAGAGAGGAAGAATAGAAGACATAGTGGTTGATAAAGATTATAGACATATGAAATTTGGCAAATTGTAAAATAATACATATTTATAAATATATATGTTTTAATAGATTAGTCTCATTATTAACTGCATTAAGCAAATATTTAAATTGTTATAAAGTGTCTTTAGACTGCAAAGAAGCATTGATTCCATTTTATGAAAAAAGTGGCTATAACCTAGATTCATCTAATTATTTCATGTCAATACGTTATAAAGATTAAATACATTTATTTTATTAATCAATACACACATGTTATATTAATAACCAAATTTATTGTTCATATATTTGCATTCTTTTATGTTCGATGGATAACTATTTATAACAAAAAATTAATATATTAAAAATAGATAATGAATTACTAAACACACTATATCTCCTGTTCTATTTATGAATAACTTTTCAGCTTTGAACTTCTTTATTAGCTTTAAGCTATCATATCCAATATCTGATATATTTAAATTTGGCCTTAAAAAAATTTTAAATTTAAAAAATAAATGATCATACATAATGCTTTCCAATTCTTCAAATTTTAATGTGGATTCTTTGATAGGTATTGATAATTGTAGAATTTTTGGTAATTTGAATGTAGTCCAAATTGAATCCGATACTTTTTCGGTCATGTTTTCAAGATTAAACAAAACATGAACCTCGATAAGGTTATCATGATTTCTAAAATTTATGTCTTTCAATATTAATTCATCATCCCTTATAATCGATTAAATAATATATTGGATTGCCTATATGTTAGTGTATAATATCTACATACTTTTTAGATTTCAAGTCATTCCATTCAGAAAAATTAAGCATAATCTTAGATACCTGAATTATTGAATCCTTAATTGATATATTTATAATGCCGATTTTAATGGTTTCTTTACATGTATATGGGGCATAATACTGTAAAATGGTGTCATAAAAAACAGGTTTATGAAATGAGCTTTCGATGCAAAATGTAATATATTTTTTAAACTGTATATTTTTCTATAAATATTATACTTTTCTTTTAGTAATGGATTAATTATAATATCATGTCGTGTTTTCCCATGTTTATATGTATCGGTAAAATTTGTTTCAATTGTCAGTAAAATATTCGTGAAATGATCAATAAACGAAGAATATAAGGTTAAAAAGGGTTTTTTGTCATTTGGTAAAGTTATGTATGGACAATCTTGAATTTATATTTTTTTTAAAAAATAAAATTTAAAGTTACCAATCGACAAGCTCCTCACAATATTTTCCCATTTTTCTTTATTTTGACTTTTTTTTTCAAATTTGTAATTCGAATTCTCATTAAAAAACGTTGCGAAAATATCTTTAATACCCTTTTCTTCTGGCATATTCTGTTCGAAAAAAAAGTCGTGCATATCTTCGATACATTTTTCTAAATTTCCCTGTGGATTTAATAAAAAAAAATTTATTTAAAGTTGTACCGATTCCTGATTTTGTTAGCTGTCTGTCAATCTTGTTCCGATTCCTGGAATCACTATTTTCTAAATATTAGACAACTTCCAGAAGACAGACACAAAAACAAACAGTTTATTAGATAGAGAAGTATATGCTTATTAAGCGGGGTTTCGAAAGATATAAACATCGTTTGGATGTCGTCTTATAGGGGAGTATATAAATTTACAAATATTGAAAAATTAAGCCAGTCAATGTAGGTCATATTTCGGCCTAGCCTAATCCGTGAATCGGGTTAAACAATAATATGCACCGGGTCGAAGTTTTGAAAATGTTTTTAAAACTGATAATTAGGAAAATTTATGTCATTTTACTCATAAAAAATTATTAAGGATTGGGCTAAAAAACCCCATAGAATCAAATGTAGGTATAAATATAATTACTAAGTTCCTATTATACGTTTTATTGAATTAAATTAATTCTGGACTAAATGAAATCGAAATTTTTTTTATTTAGCCTTGTAATATTTTTTAAGTATATACATTTTATATTCGGTAAATATTGATTTGACAAGAGAAAATCAGGTTAAAAATAATAATAATATTTATAAAATTACATTTTTAATAATTACTTGATAACAATTGTTATTTAAGAGCGATATGTTTTTATTATCGTTATCGATGCCCTGCAATTCGCTAATGATCGTAATCATAATGCTGAATAATGTGCGGTAACCCTGGACATTTTTGGTCAAAACCTACAATATTTAAAACATTGATATTTTTTATCATAATTCTATATTTAAATCAGAAGAGACGCACAATACTCGAATGATAATTAACTCTCATAAATTATAAAAAAATATTTTTTAGCCTACATTAAGCTTAATTGATATTTTTATAAAAAAATACAAATTAGTAAACCAATAAAAATAGAAATTCACGAAGAAGTAAAAAATAGAAATTCACGAAGAAGTATACAAATATATAAATATAATAATTTTAAATTCATTTGTGTATACTCCGACGAGAATCCATGTAAACTTCGAACGCAGGGTTAACTGATACTTTTTTGATCAATATCATAATACTTACCTAGAATGACGATTAATTTAATAAAATACATTTTGAAGCCTCGTTGAATATAAGTCAGCTGGTGTTACGCCATTTTGTTTAAAAAAGTTTTAATATAAACTGTTTATATAGAAACCCAAAATGGCGTGCTACCAACTGATTTCTATTGACACACATTTAAATGAGTGAATCATCAGTCTAAGTGTTATAGGTTTTAGTATCGGCTAAAAAATGTGGAATTGGTGGATCTTTAAATTCAATCCTAATTATTCGCTTGAAATTTGGACAAATTTTTCATTTATACACTTTGTAATAGGGGGTCATTACTATGAAACTTTTTTCGCAAATGTCGATTGCCGCTAATAGATTTCAGCAAATAGAATTTCCCACCCTAAACTAAGGAGAACACGGCTTGACGAAAAATAACAGAAAATGATGATCGAAATGTTGAGGGGGACAAGGATTCGTCAAATGTAATGAAGCTATACTGGGACTAGCAGATGTTCCTCAAATAAATGCAAACGCCACAAAACTCTAGTCTGCATTGTTGCCAAAATTTATATCATTAACCCTTTATATCACAGTGACGTACCTTAAAGCATTTAATGAAATCAACTAGGATATGGTAGGGCTAGATTATAAATGATACATAATAAATATTTTATATTACTCAAGGAAGGTATAGAGCTAGCCTGGGATTACATATGAATTGATGCTTTTGTTGCCAGCAATCAATTCCCTTAGGAAACCTATCCAAAATGGAAATTACAAAAAATATTCTTGCATTTTAAAAAAAACGAATTAATTTAATTAGTCATAATCACTTTACACTACATATACAGTTCGCGTAAATTCGCGGCGAAGTATGTAAAATATGCGTATTTTTGTATACTTAGCAGCAAATTCGCGATAACTGTTAATGCAGAGTAAGGGCAACTTTGGACTAAAAACGAACAAATTTTTTTAAAGATCGTAGATCGAAATAACTACACCTATAACAGAAAAAATCGAACTCGAAAATAAAGATATTTTAAAAAAAAATTGCTAAGCAATTAATTCGCGGTAAGATCCTTTTTTTATGATAAAAAGTTTTTTGGTAACTACATGAAAAAAATGTAACCTTATTACTTTGAGGCAATCGAACCAAATTTCAAATTTTTTTTGTTAACCAACAGCAACAATCCACGTGGCTCCATATATTTCAAAGTGGATTGAATTTTTAGGAAGTAGTGCTAATATAAAAAAAAATTGTTATCTCCAAATCATCTTCTGTCATATAGACAGTCACCCAAAACAAAAAGGCCAAGTCAATATAAAAATATTAAATCTATATTTAGTAGAATCCTCAGTTTTTTTGTTTTCTAATGAATTTGATAATTTTTTAAATTAATTTCATTTTACATCTAAATAAGTGCGTCCAAAGTTGAGTTATAAAAGAAAACGCATAAAGCTTCTTCCTCGAAATTTATGGTGAATTTTTTATTATTATTATTCTCGGATAAAGTTTTTCTTTTAAACGGAGATTTAAATCGCATCAACATTTCTATAATTTAATTATATACAAATAAGAACGGATAAAAACAAATATATTTATCTACATTTCGAAAATAGTTTATTTCAAGCTAAAAAAAAGTGCTGTAATAAGTGCAAATTCTTAGATGAGTTGAATTAGGGATGCAAGATATTTTTTTATCGTATAAGACAGATTTTTTGCCTTTTTAGAATATTGGTTATCGGCCAATATTATTAAATTTTCCTAAAGGATCCGATTAAATTTTTTATTATTAAAGAAAATATAATTATGTGCAAGTCAAAGACCAGCACGACCGGCCTGGGCCGCATTCTAATTTTTTTAAAAATAACCGGGTCGGGCTTAAAAAAAATTTTTTAATGGCCGGGCTGTATATTTTAAATCAATTTTAAAAATACGGGCCGGCCGTGCAAATGGTACCTCTGCAGGTCTCTGGTATAAATTAAGCAAATTCTCGTATAAAATTAGTGATAAATTAAAAAAATACATAAATAATTTATAAGGATGTTTATGATTTTAAAGCTAATTGATCATAAATATACTAATTGGGATTCTCTACTTTCTACACGATAGAAAAACTTTTGGAGCAACAAAAACATTTGACTATATAAATATATGATCAATATTTGTATATTTTTAGATTGATGAGTATCACTGAATAAATATAAAAATTTTACAGTAGTATTATTTTAAATGACTTATGTTATGGTTATAAAATAATAGATGATGGCATACTAAAGGAATATGTATATATTAAAAAATTAAAATATATTAATGAACAAAATCAGATTCTTAATATCGGATCGGTAATCGGTCGATATCAATTTATTATCGTATACCTACAAAAAAAATAGGCGATTCGATTCGTCGAATATTCAATTCGAAAATTAAATTCTTTAAATAGATTATTAACATTTTAAAAAAGTGATTTATGATTTGGGAAAAGGTAAAAAAAATTCCCCAAGCAACCTGTTAAATATTTAAGAATATTCAAATAATTTTAAATATTTATGAATAAAAAAATATTCGATAGCTAATACAATTTTCTTATTAGTATTCGATTCAAAAAATCGAATTATTTGTTTTAAACATAATCGGTAATAACGTATCGACCCCTAAAAAGTAGTATCAGTACATCCCCAACCAATAATACTCTTTTATTCATTTTAGATATGTGTACAAATATTTTCGATTTTTATTTTGAGAGAAACTTTGGTTGTATTCTAGTTCTGCATCGTCTTTAAAAAAGTTTTCCTTCAGTTTCATTTTCAATATGAATGGCGCTCATTTTTTATTTCCTAGTGATAGCACACAAATTTATTTTAATGTTGATTTTTTACATTTTACTGCTTAATAAATAAAAGCATTTGTATATTTTTTTAAATCGTAAATAAATATAAATACATTTTAATTTTCAATTTTTAAAAATTATTCAAATAAATACAAAAAATAATTATTTTTAGTTAATATTCTAAATACAAGTATTCGCTATACTGTCTAACCCTGCCAGTATGAAAAAAAATGAAAAAAAAACTAAATTTGTATCCATTTTAGCGATTTGGATGCACTAATATAAAAGAATACCAAATCAAGCATACTAGTGACCTCTGACAGGTATAAAAGTTTTAATATAATAATACGTTGATCGGTATTGCAATTAAAATCAAAATCTAATTAAAAAAATCTTTTTTTTTGTTCCCAAAAATCCTTATTAAAAATTGAAGACAATGTTGAAGTTTCTTTATTACTCGAAAACTTATAATATATTAACTAATTATAACGTGTTTTCCAAAAATCCTGAATTTGTTTTTAAATTTTCATAATAAAATTGAGATAATTTTTAAAAAATGTAATAAACTTTTCTCATTTCCATTATTTTCATTTTAAAACCACCTAAATCTTCAATGAATGCCTGAGCGAAGTTATTAGTAGTATCAATAAGATCATCACTCCCTAATGGCTTCTTACCTTTTAAAGGAATTTTGAATTGATATATAAAATTTATTATTCAAGTATTAAAAAAATATTTGGCCGCCTGAGAATTAAAATATTCTATCTCCACTTTTTTATTTTATAGGAGAGTAATTTTAAAAATAAGTATTTATTGTTTTCAATAGGATGGATATCCTAGTATCGGATTTAATTCGAGTTATTTTTATAAATATTTCGAATTTTTTAATGTAAATAGAATGGTTATAATTATAAAAATTGATTTGTGTAAAAAAGTCATTTGATAAAAAGTGGATATAGAATAACCAAATTATCATACGACGATTTGTAAGAAAGTCGAAACGCGAAAAACATTATCACAACGAGAATGTTCATAGATTCATTATCATTTAGTGTTTCTTTTTTTTATTGTAATATGTATTTCAGAATGGTGTAGATAACCTCTCTAATATTTATGATTCCAAACATGGGGTAGGTATTTCTAAACATTATGGAAAACATTCCCGAATCTCAGTAAGGGTAAAATAATTCCCCGGAAAAAAATCCCTAATAATAATTCTTAGAAAATAACTCTCCGGAATTGATTTTCTCAAAATTTGTAAATATATTATTTGAGGATTTTTATTACATGGATATATTATTTATAGGGAATTTTTTCTTCTATTTTATTAATTTTGTAATGTTTAAATCTTAAAAAACGGGGATTTTTTTTTCCGGGGAATTATTTACCTAGGTTCAATAAAGTCAGATTTTTTAAATTAAAAAATAAATAAACGCAGAGCTGTTAAAAAAAGACATCTGACGTTAAATATATATTATGTTATAGTTTGTATAAATTTACGATTGGTTTTAATTCTTTGAAAAGAAAATTTGTTGATAATTTTGGTTAAATCTTGCTCCTTTTTTTTTAAAACGCGGAACATTGCCTTGATTCACAGTTCGTGCGAATAAGCGGCGAAGTATGCAAAATTATCATATTTTATATACTTTATTTCGCCGCGAATTCGCTCCAACTGTGAATGCATAATTAGATTGACCCTTTTATATTTATTTTCACTTATTATTAATTACTCATCTATAACCAATAAAGAATAACGAATAAAGTATTTTTTAATAACCTGTAAAAAATGGATAGTATCTTTCAACGTTCAAGGATGCGCCTTTAATTACACCGATATTTTGAGACAAAATATAACAAGTAGTATCTAAAACTTGGAGTAAATTCAATATTTTGGAATAATTGTATTCCAATAATTCGAGAATGTCAGAAATCTCTTTAAAAGTCAATTGTTTCTCGAAATAATGTTTCAATCTATCGTCGCCAATTCCCATGAAAATTAATTCCAACAAATCTTCGTAAACGTTACCTGATAAAAAATAAATAAGATAACTTATAAAAAATAGTTCAATATTACATGTCGGCTCTTGATTGAATAGAGGTTCTAACTTAGCGTTAATGTCAAGAACATATGATTCCCAAACGTCTCTGATCGTGTAAATTACATCGCCCATTAGACCGATAACAGCAAATAGACCATTTTGGTCAAATAGCAAATGGCTCAGTTTAACGATTTCTTCGTTAAATTCGTTAAACAAATTGCTTGTTACGATTACTAACATTGGCAAAGAATAAATATAAAATAAGCTATAACCGAATACAATTTAAGAATACTTATAAAAGTTTATAATCGTGAGACATATCTTTGAATGATAAAATGTCTAAGAATCCAAGATTAATACGTGAATGGGGGGGGGGGGGTCATACGTAGTGTTTTAATTTTAATACAATAAATAAGGGAAAATTGAAATTACAACAAAAAACAAGGTAGGAACCAAAGCCATTTTCAATTATCAATCCATATATTTTTTTTATTAAAAAATCGTATTCCCAAAATTTTAGAACCCTGCAAATCTATCAACTGATGATGATTTAAGACCTAACGTTGATCATTTTCTCCTGGGCCATGGACAAATTTCTAATCTGAGACTATACAAACTATACATGTGTCTCAGCCTTTTTAACAAATACTAACAGCTACCTGATTAACTTAGCATAGGCCAAAAAATTAACATATATAAAAAGCTTAGCAACTTTATGTCCTTTCCAATTGCAACGACGGTTTGCACCTATCACATTCACTTTTTTAAGAAATTTAGCTTATAAAATAAAAATATCAACACTTTTAACTTATTTCTTAGGCAGAATATACAATCACAAAATTTATTTAACTGTTCCTTTTTAAGAAGTTTTACAATTAAATATAATTTTTTATAGAATAATTTTAAGCTTTAAAAAAAATTAATGAGAATAATTCATTATATTTATTTATTAATCAATGATATTAGAACGTTAAAAAAATTCAAATTTTCTTAACACCTTCATTTTTCCCTCCGCCTAAAGCCATTTACAAACAAAACGTTTTTTCAAAGCGTTTTTCGAGGCACGTTTTCGTAAATTTTTTTACTTCCAAATAAACAATTTTTATAATACAGTTGATTTTATATTAAAATTTAATAAATAATTTGTGCAAAAAGTACTGTCCTCAGAAATGGGAATAATGCTACTTTAAAGATAATATTATTTACTTATTAATATAAAAAGCATAAGCATATATATCGTTTATTTTGAGTAATTATAAGAATTAATTTCTATATTTAAATAAATTCGGGCCGGGCCGGTAAAATTTTTCTAAAAAATTTCGGGTTCAGGCTGGGCAAAACTTTATAAAAATAATTTCGGGCCGGGCTTGAAAAATTAGGCCCTGCAGATCACTAAAGTATATACAGGGCCAAATTGTTTTCAAATAGACTAAACAATAAGCAAACTGAATATTTAAAGGGATAATATATCTAAGAGAAAGATAAGAATTTTAAATAGATTACTTTTATTAAAATATTTTTCACCAAATAAGTTTATATATTTTTATTATTAATTTTACATTAATGGCATAAAATACATGTTTTACAATATTGAATTAAGAGATACAAAAAAGAAAAAATAAGGGATAAAATGGAAAATCTAGGGATGCTACTATAAAAAATTAAAATTATGGCATTCCACACAACTTGTAAAAAATAATTCAAGGTTTTTATCTGTAAATATGTAATTGTTTATAATATTTTAATAAATATATTATGTAAATTGTATAATATTTCTATATTAATTTATGAAAATTGTAAAAAAAAATATTTCAATAACAACACATCTAGCTAAGATTTGTAATTGCTCTAAGATATTATGGGATAGATTAAATATCTGATCTGCTAATTCATATCAATAATGATTATTAGTTATCTAATAATTCTAATTATCATAATTTCCGTAAATTCATTGATTACCTTATTTTAATTTAATAACTGAAATATATGAATAAATATATTTATCAGAGACCTTGCGTATTTTAATTTTCTAAATATACCAAAAAATAAATTTTTTTTTAAAAAAAATTACCTGGGTCGTATATTTTAAAACCGAATGTTTTAAATCGCCATTATTAACTAAATGTAATATATTTTCAAAAAATCCGAGCCGGGCAGATAATATAAAACGTGGTGCAAACCAAAATTTTTTTTAAACAAAATCCAGGCCGGACTGTACAAATGATACTTCTACAGATATTTATAACAAATAATTATGCTTTAAAATTAAAATATCCTTTGATTAAACATTATAGATAAAAAGGTGATGAGTAAACTAAACAAGATATGATGCAATTTCAAACTATTTTACCTTTAGCATATAATACACAATTTATATACTACTTTATTTGAGTAAGTATATGTTTCACCTGATTTAAAATTATTGCATAATATAGTATTTAAAAAAAACCTTTTCACTTCAATCGTGTAAATACTTCATTTAATCGTTAAAAATATCAAATAATTTATTTGCTGAGTATTATCAGCAATATAAGATTTGCAATCATATTTTAAAAAAGCAAAATCACATGCATTAAAAAAAAGAAGTTGTGTTTGGGAGGATATATATATTAATCTGTTTTTGTTTTTTCTTGTTTTGGAAAAAAACGTTGTTTGGAAATGGCCTAATTTTTTTGTTTAGCTGTAAATTAAAAGACATTTCTAAAATTTATACCTATATTTTCGGTATCAAATGGATCATTCGCAGTGAGACATTGAATAAACATATACTTCATGTCTGATGACCATTCTGGGAAGAAAACCTTTTTTATTTCCTTTCAAAATAAAATAGTGTATATATATATATAATATACAAATATAACTAAATTTTGGTAAAACTAATGTTAAATTTCTAATAAATATATAACTTGTATAATAATATATAACTTATAATAAAATTGGGTGCCAATTTTTAAATTTACATTTTTTCTTATAGAAATAGAGTTAGTACCCCATAATGTTTAGAAAATAAAATGTTCAAAAAAACAACAATATATATTAGTTTTAAATGAGAATTTGTTCGAAAGAACGATAAAAATAGGGGTATTGATATTTTTTTATATGATGTTCGAATTGTATGAGAACAAACTATAAATAATATTGTTTACGTATTTTGTGCTCTCAAAATAAAAGTTTCCGTTCGATAACAATGGAAAACCTTGTACATAATTAATTAGTAGTTTATAATAAAAAGAGATATTAATTTATCAGGTTTTATATAATTTCCACAGTTTAAAAAAAAAATTAGGATATAATATATACACATAATTTTTTCAATTTAGTGCTTAGAGATGTAAATTTTTAGGGAAACTATAATTAAGGGAAATTTCCCTTTGGAAACCGGAAGGTAGGTCAATATTGATTTTTTCCATGTTTTATTGAAGAGATTATCAACATATTATTTGAACAAGTATGATATAATTTCAATTGTGTTGTTCGTTATCTTCATTTGAAGATTAAAATTTACGGTTTTTATAAATTTTTAATCTATAGTTTTGCATTGTAAGAGATTTGAGATTGATTTATAATTTTTAAATATCTCCCTGATATAAATAAATGCCCGAGGAACGACAAATAAATTGGATTTATCGGCTTACATCATCTATTTATATATAAATGACTTTTATGATGTATACAGGATCGTTTAAAAAAAAACTATCATTATGAAGAAGAGTAAGTTTCTTATCTCAAAAAATTAAAATATCCAAATATTGCCATCATTTTTTCGTAAATAAGATATTAATCAATATATCTGTTCAACGAGTTAGGCTAAGCAACTTCAAGAAAACAATCCAATTTTTATTTCTAAGTAGTTGTTTTTCTTTAAATGTTGAGAACAGAATTGTGTTGGATTTTACATATTTTATAAGACTTTTGACCCTTGCTACTAAAATTTGAATTGGTAATATTTTATATGCTAATTTTAAAACCAAATAAAGTTCATAAACTGCTTACCAAATTCATTCAATAGTTGGATATATATTTTTTACAAATATCCATGCCTTCTTCAAATTGCATTATCAGTTATTAAGGTGTTTATTTTTGTGTTTCCTATCTCTTTATTTAATTTAATAAATTTATTTGATATATATTCTCCAATATGCATATTGGTCCCTATTTCAATTTATTTAAAAAATAAAGGGGGGGGGGGGAAGGTTGCTATAATAAAATTTATGAGGCATTTTCTTCAACCATAATGAAGGTTAAATGTTTATTTTAATCTAATCATTAGTTATTATTTTTTTAATAATTGAATTCACTGTTTAACAAATTTTTAAGTAAATACATAATTTATTCTAATCGCCGGGGTGGCCTAGTAGTACATGATGTATTCTTGGAAACTGAAGGTCCCAGGTTCAATTCTGGTAGGGAAATTAAAAATTCCAGGTTTTTCATTGATGATGGATGTGTATAGACATATGATATTATGAATCTCTGAGCTGAGAAATGCCACCCTGGTTACCGACAGGCTTAGACAGCCGGGTGCTAGGATACTTGTTCAATAAACCAAATAAGATGACCAGCTGATCTCATGAACGAGGATGATAACGTTGGCCAGTGCTAGGTTAATCGTGACCTCAGGGGCTGTTCAAGCACAATGTTTACCAAGCTACAATGGACTTGATAACGATACTCCGATGGGAGATCCATCGGGATTGATACTCTGGTGGGAGATCAATTACAATGGAATCGATAAAAATACTCCGATGGGATATCTGTCGATATTGATACTTTGGTATGAGATATAGATACATTGGCCTCGATAGCGATACTCCAGTGGGAGATCCAAATGGAATTGATAAGAATACGGAAATATAAATGAGATAAAAATATATAGCAGGAGTAATAAAGTGGAGAGATATTGAAGGAGCTTACTATATTACATAATTCAACTATTATTAATTTTATTGTTTTAAAAATTAGATAAAACCAAACAATATTACTATATTTATCAGAGACTAGCAGGCCTAGTCCTAAGCTCAGGCACATGAGCAGGGCCGAATTTTAAATATACCCAGGATGGGTCTAAAAAATTTATTTTAAATACCAGGGCTGAGCCTAACATTTTATAAAAAATACCAAGGCTGGGCCAAGTATTTTAAATCGCCATTATTAACAATAAAAATTAAAAATAAATATATTTTAAAAAAAATTTTAGGGCTGGACCTGAAACTATAAAATCAGGGCAGTTTTTTTTTAAATCGGAGCTGGGCTGTGCAAATGGTATCTCTACAGGTCTCTGATATTTATTATTCTTAGGCAAATAAATATAAAAAACCATGGGAAAATCGATTGTCAGCAACAAAAAAAGTCCATAGGCATAAACTCTAATTTGAGGTTGGTTATCACGAATTGTATGTACATGGAACAAGACAAGTTTATCATCCCCAAAAATATTACTGATGGTATGATGATAATTGATGAACATGTTTTCCTGTGATGAATGATCATGTAGTGGTGTTTCGTCTTTTCGATTTATCAAGAAGCCAGGGGGGAAATTGTTTTTTATTGTTGCCAAAGTGGGAAAGAAATTAACGGTTTCTTCTAGGAATTCATTCTATAAATATATATATATAAATATATGGAATGGATCAATAAATTCATAATATAAAAATTAGTTTATATTTGTGAAAGTATTAATTTTTTTATTGACTGACTTTAATTATTAATTTTATTAGTCATTATATTTCTATAAAATAGGTGCTATATACACCCTAAAGCCTCAATTTAGTAAGAAATTTTTTTCTTATATATAATTTTATTTTTAGAAAAAGTTTTATGTTGATTGTTTAATCATTTTGAAACAAATAAGCTAATATCTAATATGGAATGGTCACTAATTTTATAAAATCCTATTCTTTAATGGTTATCAGATAAAACACAAAAAATTGGGGATTCCAATAGAAAGAGGGAGTTTTTATAATATGTTTCAAAAATATCTAAACTATGTAGAATTTGGTAATTGAGTTAGTAGATATCGACTTTTAAAAAGAGTGTGGTAGTCTACTAGTGAATTTTTAAGTATCATCAATATATAGAAATTATTTAAAAAACTGCAAAATAATGTTTAAATTATTTAGTCCTTTGGATGTGCCTTTAAAAAATCTTAAACTAAATTCTCCCACATATAAAAAAGGGACAATGACTTATGAGTTCAAAGAATCCGGGACTAATAAAAATTATCAGGTTAATGCAATTTCATTTATAATATAATTATTTTATGTAGAGATATGCCAGGTCCAATTTTTCTACTGGTAATAGTTACAAATCTAAAAAAAAATTCAATTTCATGGTTAGACCCATTTTAAGATCTTATAAAAAAGGTGAACACTCTTATATATAGAATGCAAATTCAATTTAAAAAAAATTATACTAAAATTTATTAGTATATTCAACAGTAAAATGGTCATATTAATGGATGGTATTCAATATTTTATCCATCTATATTATATATATTGTGTTATAACCACTTTTTAAAATTATTAATTTTTTTCATATTATAAATAGAAGAATGTAAAAAAATAATTTTGATTAATAAATGTTCATTAAAAATATAGGTGTTTATATATATATTATATAGAATAGATTAAAATCTGGCTGGTTATTTTAAAGAAAAAAACCTAGCAGATTCAAAAAGAAGATCTAAGCAAAGGCTGTTCCCAGATTTGGGATCTAGTATATCTCTAGTTTTAAAAATTTTAAAACATAAGAAAAACCTCATTTAAAACATTTATTTCTTGAAAAGTATTAAAATAATTTCCCATATAACATTTCCAATTAAAATATTCAATATCATCATGTATATTTAATGTGTATATATTAATTCCATTTCCAACTGTTAAGAATTGAACTAAATGTTGATTGTGATAACCAACTGATAAAACTATTTAACTTGTTAACAGGTATAAATATTATAATTATTAACTTTTGCCATCTGGTCTCCATTTTATATTAACAATTTTGCTACTTTTCTTAGGAGGTTTATGCAACCATATATGTTTTTGAGAATATAATCGTTGAGTAAAGACCTTAAATATAAAAAAGTGCATTTACAGGGAATAATTGTATATATATATAAATCCTTACACAGCTTAAATAATTGGTAAAGATGAATTAGTTTAACACAAAAATTATTATATTATGTTAAAAGCCATAAAAATACAAATAAAGGTATAAAATTTTACTTTAATAGGTCAATGTATAAATAATTAATTAAATCTTATTAATTATCTAATATAAACTTCATTTTCTGAGTTTGCAAGAGCAGCAATATCCATAATAGGATTCCATTCAAGGAATAATATCTTTGAAGTGAATTTTTTATCATCAATGCAATCGTATGGAAGCATTTAAATATTGCGGCATTATATCAATGAATGTCATTGCATTATTTATATGAGTGATTGATGTTTTTTATATTTTATTTATTTATGAGGTATCTCTTTATCTTTAATAACTTCTTCATGCAGTTTGGTAACAATCATATATCTTAAAAAATTCTAATATAAAATTGTGTTATTTGTATGCAAATTAAATTAATTATTTTCTACAGTAGTAGAGTGTTATTAATCTGGATGCTAAAAATGTTAAATGGCATTAAAAGCTGGTTTTATCTGAGAAAAATTAACAAAACACATTTAAGTATAAACAATTTTAGTGTTACTAATCGACTGAGTCGAAAAGATTTAGTCGAAGAGTGAGCCAAATTTTGGGTTGAAATAATCGACCCAAACTGACTTGAGTTATGAACTCGAGTCGTGAACTCAAATCGGCTCGAAGTGAACAGGGTTGCCAGATCTCCTCCTCTTTCCGCCAACAGTGGGAGACTCCAGAAATTTTTTAGTTTATTCGTAGACATTACTCCTCCGCAAAAATCAAAAATCTACCCCAATTTTAAAATTTCTCCTGCACATTTTTTTTAGCATTTTAACATTTTTATTATATAAATAATAATTTTGCGAAATACTAATTGATTATTTTTATTTTCTAAAATAAATTTTAAAAATTTATTTAAAACATGTCTAGTTTGTAAAATTTTTTCTTCCTTACCTTAATCATATGCAATAATAAATCACATCATTCGTTCATATTTTCTCATTTTCATGTGTGTTTGTCATTGTAGAACTAGGCCCTTAATTATCACGTTTAAATACATTGTTAACGACTCTAAGATAAGTGAATTGTGTTAGAACATAAATATAAAAGGCTATCATGAATGTTTTGGAACCTGAATTCAGGAGGTCAATTTTTGACTATTTGAAAGATGAGCATCCATATGTAATTCTAACAGATGCTATAATAGGGGAAATATTAAAACATTTCCTTTGATCCTTCGCTATTTCAATAAAAATAAGAACTATTTTATTTTTTTCCCTCAGAAAGTAAAGAATCTAAAAACATAGCTTAACCGTATAATGGTAAATATAGCAGATTCGGGATTATCAATGAGTAGCATGTCCGCTATCTGTGCTGATAATGCTTCAGTGAATTTTATCAAAAATCAGAGTGTATATACAGAATATAGGCATCACAATGCCAATTTAATTACAATGTGCTTTATATGCCATACTACCTAATTCTTGCAAGAAGGCAATGAATGTATTATGTATGGATGTCGAAATAATTTTATTGAAATACTTTAACGAATTTAGTTCAACAAATAAAAGTTTAATGAAATAAAAGAGGCGGAGTGGTCTGACTTGGAATGGTGTGAGTTGTTGCGACATACCCTTATCAGGTGGTTATCAATAATACCCGCCATCGATATAATTTTTAAATTTTAAGAACCTTTAAAAAAATATTTCTTAAATAAGGATTGTAAAAGCTTTCCTAATATTTTGAAAATTTATTTCAAAAATAATATGGCAGAGGCATATTTAGGAATGGTTTTAAATGTACGAAATCTACAACATGCTGTTAATATGCAGTTTTAATCAGAAATATTTTTTAATAGAGATTCACAAATTTATGCTGCAGCTGTGTTCATCTTTACAGTTAAAAATTGACAATAAATTTTATGGCGCTATTGTTAAAAATATTATACTAAAATGTTCAAATATTACTCAAATTAAAAATTTATATTCAGACAATTTTAGAATATTTGCAATAAAAATTTGATTTCAATAACTCGATTAACAAATGTATAGATATTAATACATTGGAACAGAAACCATCAATTGATAGTTTTTGTAATTTAATAAATTTATTAAAATTACTGATAGATGTTTGTTTGAGGAGATTGTAATTCTCTCTATTTTTTATGATTCGCCAGAATAATCAAAGATAGATGGCCCAAAAGCAAAAGAGAAATGTATAGAATTTTTTCGTAATAACTAACATATAAATTCCCATACTTGGGAAAAATAGGCGAGTATATTTTCTCCTTATAATGCCATAAAGAATCTAGATTAAATTCAATTTAGCAGCAATCTCCTATTCCTTAACTAAAATTAATCTATCTCTACTACCAACCAGTTGTTAAAGTAGCGCGCTATCTTTTTTTGGTAGCTATAGCTAATAGCGGCTACCTTTTTTGAAATTATTTAATTTTTTAGCGCAATATAATGAATGTAAGTATAAGCAAGAAAATATAAATATAATACCATAATTAATTATAATTATAATTTTTATGATTTATTATTTAATTTTGAAATTGAAATATATTTTCAATTTGTAATTTATATTTTCAATTTGTAATTTATATTTTCAATTTGTATTATAACCAGGGGTTCGAACCGAACCGTAATGCAAAACCGGAATGAACCGTTATGATTTTCTGAACAGTAACCTTAACCGAACCGTTATGAAGAAATGAACCGGTTTAAACCGGTTCTAAACGGTTTTAAAAATTATTAATTTTAAATTTTTAACCTTAATTTAAAATTTTAATTATCCTTGGGAGCATTTTTTAAATTGGTGATTTCTTTTCAAATTAAATATTTCTATATTATCAACATTATATATCAAATTAAATATTTATTATCAACATTATATATCAAATAATACCAGGTTTGTTGTTTTTTCTTTAAATACTTAATTTATAAGAGATTAGACAATTTATCTGTTAATTAGATAAGATATCTTAAAATCAGACATAATTATTCTTGGCTAAATTAACAAATTTATATATAAGATATAAATAAGCTTTTAGAATAATACCTGCTAATAATTAGGGAAAAATTATATAATTCTATTATTAATAAATAACATCTAATAGAAATCAAGTAACTTTTAAATTCATTTTTATATTATATGGTTTATTTTTTATCTCATTATAAAAACTCGGATCATAGAATTTAAATGAAAATAAATAAAATAGTCAGCAATATTTTAATGATATAATAATTTTTTATTTATAATCATTGTTTTTTTAAATTCAGAATTCTAATATTATAAATTATTTATTATTATAATATGTTAGTTACCATTTACCATTATCATATATGCAAAATAAAAAATATGATTAAAGAATGGCATTTGTAATGAATATTTTTCTAAATCTTTATTTTTAAATAATAAAAATCTTACTATAAATCTTCTGTTTAAATAAGTCAATTAACATTGCATTAAATTATTTTTATACTTTTATTTATTTATTAATGTGTTTTATATTTAAATAAACTTACAGTGAATTAAAAATAGGAATTACATTTTGATGTTAAACTAAATATAAATACTATAGTTTAACTTAAATTACCTATTCTGTCATATTATATTAACATCTAAAAGAAATAAAGTACTGACCAATTTTTATATAATATTGTTTTACAATAATTTCTTATTAATTGATATATTCAAAAAAAGTTTATCTTAGTTTATATAGAATATATCAGAGTGGGTAATTTGAATTAAACTATACTAGTTATATTTAGTTTAACATCAAAATGTAATTCCTATTTTTAAATGTAAGTCTATTTAATATAAAACACAAATAAATAAAAGTATAAAATAATTTAATGCAATGTTAGTTAACTTATTTCAACTGAAGATTTATAGTAAGATTTTTATTATTTAAAAAAGATTTAGAAAAATATTCATTACAAATGCCATTCTTTAATCATATTTTATTTTATTTTGCATATATGATAATGGTAAATGCTAACTAACATATTATTTTAATAATAAATATTAAAATTCTGAATTTAAAAAAAAAAATGATTTTTATAAATAAAAAATTACTATATCATTAAAATATTTATTGCTGACCATTTTATTTATTGTCATTTAAATTCTATAATCCAAGTTATTTAAAAAAATAAAAATGTAGGTAAAATTGTTTCTATTAAGTTTTTTTATTTATTCTATTTATATAATAAAAGATTTTCATCTATCATCATATAGCTTTTTAGTTATCTATTAAATGGTTCGGGAAAAGTCAAATCCTGTGCGTTCCTATTTTAAATTAGATATCATAAAAAATTAATCTATTTGTAAAATAGAAGATTGTGGTAAGGTCTTAACTGGGGACCATGCTGCAAATCTTGAATGACATATAGAAAGATTCCACAATAGGGAATTCAAATTATTAAGAAAAAAGAAAGAAAATTTGACTATTAAAAAAATTTAAATAACGAAAACTGCAAACCAGTATAATACAATCCAAGATGCTTTTAAGTCCAACACTACTACAATACAAATCAATATAAATAAAACTTTAATCCGCTCCTGCACCGAGCTAATAACAGTTCACGGTAGGCCAATAAAATCAATTAACGACAAAGCATTTCGAAATATTATAGATCCAATAATTATAGGATTGGGTGGAAATTTACTATCAATTCGGAAAATATACGCAATAATATTTAAAAAATGGCGTTAGATTTTTCGGAAAATATAAAAAAAGAAGTATATCAAAAACTTATTTCGTTAAAATTAGATATAGCAACTAGATATGATAGGTCCATATTAAGGATCAATATTCAATTTATAAATAACGGAAAAATAAAATTAAGGACTCTATGCATGAAAGTGATTAAAGAACGACACACAACAGAATATCTTAAAAAAATTATTCTAGATGTTCTAAAAGAATATGAAATAAAAATTGAGCAGATTTACACAATAACCACCGATAATGCAGCAAATATGATTAAGTTAATTAAGCTATTAATACTACATTATGAAGAAGATGATGACCTTAACGATTATTTAATTAATGATGATTTAAATAATAATGATATAGATAATGATGATTTAAATAATAATGATATAATTCATGATGAAAATAAAGACCCTATTAATATTGAAAATATTAATCTTGCATCAAATGCCAGATCCATATTAATAGGTATTAGATGTGCTTCACATGCATTTCAATTAGCAATTAATGATTGCATTAAAAATTCAAATG